CACAGCAAATTTCGTACGATTTCACCAAAGTTTGAACATATACAGCAAACAATTCCAAAAACTCACAAGATTTTTCAAGTTGAAAAACCTTTGATTTAACAAAAAATGAATAATTTAGTATTAATAACTGCTGATGGCCATGGTTTAAAAGACCAGCAGCGCGTTGCATTCATGCTCGATAGCCCCAACTATGTTAGTCGGAAAATAAGGATGCCAGGGAATCAAAACGCCATCAGCTTGCTTATAAGCAATCTTAAGGGAAGCCAAACTTGCCAATGGATGAACGCTGTTAGGAACTGTTACGAATATTTTGCAGTACCTCCGCATCTCATAGATAGAGGAAGTTTAAATTTTTAAATTAACGACAGCAACTTCATTAGAAAGAAAGGAACCTGCAAGGCAATAACGATGGAGCCATTTTCGAGGTAATGCAGAGTTATTATTGAGGCGGAATGACAGCCACGAATGCAACGCATCATTACACCGTACTGCGTGAACAATGGTCCCTTTTCTCGAAATGTACGCCTTATCAGTGCGATTGGATAGTTGCGACGATTAGCAACCAAAAGGCGAATCACCTGCAATGAATTGAGAAAAAATTCTCTACTTAAGCGGTTAAACTCCGAAGATTTTAATTCGAGTATGGAAGCAAGAATTTCAAGCCTTCTTTTTTGTATAGAAAAATGAATACAAAAAGTAAGCTGTCAAAAACTTGTCCATACATCCGTCAGAGGATTTCTGCGCACTAAACTGAAAATGAGTAGAAATCCTGCCAAAGGATTTTAGCCTATTTTCGATCTTATGTATACCACAACTGCTGGAAATCACTGGAACCTAGGCTAAACACAATTTTGAGGAGAACAACTAGAAGAGAAGCTGCTAAATGCAAAGATGGAGAACTGGACTATGAGTTAGCAACTGCCCCAAATACTAAAGAAAGCCTGATATTCATGTAAGCATAAACTGATATCAAAGAAATTACATTCTAACACTTCCAGTAATTCAAAGAATTGATTGATCAGTGGCATTTACAAACAAGCTAGGCAGATATTTAGCATGAAATACAGAAATATGAAGTTGACGAGAATGATATTTAGGTCATGTGACTATGTAGCACGTATGTAAGCAGCCTATGTTTCATGTTTCATACCTTAGCCGTAAAATAGCGATTTATGTAACAGTAAGAGATGCAAATGGTGAATATCTGGCTGACGCACATACGCTAATAA